AGGAGCCTGTCGTAACCCTGGAGGAGAGCAACGGGGAGAAGAGCAGCGAGCAGCGGGGGCCGAGGAAAACCCCTACAGTGCATCCGGAGGAAAGTACAGGTAAATAACCACCATCTCGGATGCCGTGCACTTGTTTGAACAATTAAAACATTCCATGTGAGTGCCTCTGGTTCGGCTGCGGCCGGGAGGAACCGAGACGTTGGAGTGTTGTGCCAGAGGGAGGCGAAGGGGAGGAGGAGAGGTGCTGGGTGCTCAAACGTGGTCGCCTCTCAGATTCCAAGACAGAAAGACACTGACCCACTCCCTGCAGTAAGTGCTGGGCTGCTCAGGAGGCTTTAACAACTGCAAAAAGCCAAAACACGAAAAAAAACCTACTGTCCTTCACGTCTCCGAAGCGTGTAAAGTCCATTAGTGCTCCACTGTGAATGGGTCAGTGAACATGAAAGGTTTTGATTTTTTTTCCCCAAAAAACTGAAAAGGAAACTTGGAGGGTCAGTTCTTGCTTTGATACCCGTAGTAATCAGTTCACACGTTCAGGTAGTTTTTTTGCACGGGACGTTGGATCTCTGCAGATTCTCCCATCTTACCTGTCTCAACTCTCTTTTTTACCATTCCCTTCCAGCCCTCTCAATCAAAAAAAAAAAAAGGGGGGAAAAAAAAAAAACCCACCAAAACAACCAAACAAAACCTCCCCAAAAAAAGGTGCAGGGATGATTTTAAGGAACATGAGAACTGGAATGGTGGAGAGTGCTGGAAGGGAGGGATGGTGGCAGTTGTGTACATGAGAAACTCCTGTGTCCGGCTCCGTGTGCCTGGTTACACAGAGAGGTGACTTTTAGGAGTCCCCAAATCCAGATTGCTGAAGTTGAGCCCAAGGGCTGGTTCGAGTAGAGCGAGTAGGAGGCGTGTTTAAAAGACCTGATTGTATCAGTGAACTCTTGGATTTCCTTTCCAAAGGTGAGTGTAAATGTCTCCATGTCTTTTGTTTCTGTTGATTTTTGTTTTTGAATTATTAGCAACATCCTGTGACGACCTCACCAAATTCTAGAAGCGCCTCCCAGTATGTCTCAGACTCTCCAGGGAGCCTCTTTTGGCCCGATACACAACTCCTCTGCAATGTAGCTGAACGTGCTGTGTTCTCGTGCCTTCAACACACCCGCCCACCACAAGCCAGTTGTGATCGTGCTTTTTTTTTTCTTTTTTTTTTTGTTCTTTTTTGCCCTAGTACTGGAAGATAACTAGGTTACTGTAGAGCAGATTCAATCAAATAACGCTGTTCTCTGTTCATAATTATTTTAAATGATATGCTGTCCCCGAATCAGCTTGGCTTTAAAATTACCTGAAGATTGTTTTCTGGATTTAAATACAATCTAGTTTTAAAGTGGACTGAGGGATACGGGTGGAGGGGTGGTCCTGGAAGACTACTGGCTTTCACAATAAAGTTTGACCTTTTTAATAACCAGTTTTGCAAATGATTTGAGGATCTGATTCCAACAAGGCGTTCGTGGCCTCTTACGTCATCGCCAGTAAGAGCTTTAATCACGCTGTAGCCCATCCTTTGGCCCGGGTCAGGTCGGTTGTGGTGCTCTGCAGGAGCCAGAACTGGTTTTGTGGGCGAAGTCGGCGCAGGGGGCAGCGGGAGCGGATCGTGTCCTCCCTGCTGCGGCATGGCATCTGGTCGTGGCACTGCCTTGGTGCCTTTCCCACCGCCGAACCAGGCTGCTGTGTCCTGCTGCTGCCCCAGAAGCAGGGACACAAAGTAGTGAGAGCGTGGTGGCAGTGGGGGGGTGCAAAGGGGGCTTTTTGTTCTCGCTAGGAGGGATCCTTTTGACATGGAAATCCTTGTGACTTTAGGTCTGGCTGCGGCATGGCATCTGGTCGTGGCACTGCCTTGGTGCCTTTCCCACCGCCAAACCAGGCTGCTGTGTCCTGCTGCTGCCCCAGAAGCAGGGACACAAAGTAGTGAGAGCGTGGTGGCAGTGGGGGGGTGCAAAGGGGGCTTTTTGTTCTCGCTAGGAGGGATCCTTTTGACATGGAAATCCTTGTGACTTTAGGTCTGATGTGGGGGGAACTGGAGGAGAAGGGATGGGGAGGCAAGATGATTTCCTCGTGCTCCAGGACAGTCTGTACATTGCACGTGAATATTTGTTGGGTAAAGATTGTTTTGGATGGGACACTGGAAACGTACTTTGTAAAATGGTGGAAAAGCAGGGCTGGCGCTGGGAGAACACGAGAGGGGGTGCCCACTCCCTTTGGTCTGTGGTGGGCACAGTCAGGATCTGCGCTGTGCAGGGCTGGGGTTGGCTTTTGTGGTTTTTCAAAGCGGTACATCGGTACGGGCCGCCGGCGAGCCCGGTACCGGCGCCGTACGGCACGGCGTGCCCGTGCAGCCGGAGACCCCGCTCTCGGGGCACACGTGCTGTCGTGTGGCTCCACATCTGTCTCCTGCTCGGCGTTAGCCTTTGATCCGAGAGCAGGAATTCCCTCCACGGGTGCCCATGTGTTGGGACAGCTGTTGCTGGGAGCGTGGGGGGGAAATGTTAATGAACGTGTGCATTGATCTCGCAACGAATTCCAGCTTTTTAAACTCTCCGCCTCTTTTCCAGTGCATCCCAGAGAGCGGACTGTCTCGGTAGGCTGTTTGGTTTCTTTTTTT